CCCCCAGCTCATCCCCAGAGTGTCTCTGGAACTTTCAGAGCTCAAAAGGACAGACATGGAAATGATCAGATCAGAAAGGATCAAAGTGGATTGTATGATTTCAAGTTATTTCTTTTTTTTTCATTTTTTATAACTTTATTTATTGAATAACCATGAGAGCAGTTACAAAGCTTTTGGGTTCAAGTCTCAGTCATACAATGGAACACCTGTATCTTCACCAGTGTCCATTCTCCACCCCCAAAACCCCCAGTATACCCTCATCCCCCACCCTCCCCTACCTGTGGGGCAGATGATTTCCAAATTACTCTCTCTCTACTTTGGTTACATTCAATATTTTGACACCAGACCCACCATTATTATTTGGTATTTTACCCCAACACTCAGATCTGCCAAAAAGGCAACAGTAGACCATTTGTTTTCTATTGCTGATAATGAATAACATATGATGTTATGCAACTGCAGTAGTGGCTGCGTGATTTTGAAATTCCGAAATTTTAACAATTAAATCTGGAGGGATTTCTGCCAAAACTTGATGGGTTCTGAGATTTGTTCCTGAGTCTCTTGGATCATGGCCCCTAAGCAGGTTCATCAGGAGGCAGAGAGGCCTTTTGTGGGCAACAATCCATGGTGCTGTTGGGACGGGGAGGAAAGGGTCGACTCCATCCCCCTCCTGTGATGCCCCACGTGTCTCATCACTGAGGGCCCAAACCTGACTGTCCTATGGCCCCTAGTGGATGGCGGCTACCGGGTCACAAGGGGAAACAGGCCAAGGCATGAAACCTATTCCCACCTGGGGTGGCCCAGCACCAGTAACCTACTGCAGGGACTGGATGCATTTCTGTGAAAAGCTGTTGGGTTCCGCAATTTGTTTCTGGATCTCTGGGATCATGGCCATTAAACGGCTTGATCAGGAGTCAGAGAGGCCGTTTGTTGGCAGCAACCTGGGGTCTCATTTTGGTGGGAGCACAAAGGCCGGCTCCACCCCCATCCCATAAAGCCCCACATGTCTCGTGACTGCAGGCCCAAACCTGACTGTCCAATGGCCTCTGGAGGATGGCAGCCACTGAGTCACCAAGGGGGAGCAGGCGGAGGGACAGCACCCTTTCCCCACAGGGGTGGCCCCAGAGACAGTAACCTACTGTGTGGTCGAGATGCATTTCTGCCAAAAGCCGCTGAGTTTCGAGATTTGTTTCTGAGTCTCTGGGATCATAGTCATTAATTAAACAGCTTGAAAAGGAGTCAGAGAGGCCATTCGTGGATGATGACTCAGGGTCTTGTTGGGACAGGTAGGAAAGGACCGGCTCCACCCCCATCCTGTGAGGCCCCACGTGTCTTGTCACTGTGGGCCCAAATCTGACTGTCCAGTGGCCTTTGAAGGATGGCGGCCACCAGGCCACCAGGGGAAACAGGCCAAGGCACGAAACCTATTCCCACCTTGGGTAGCCCAGCGCCTGTAACCTACTGCAGGAACTAGACAAATTTCTGCCAAAAGCCATTGGGTTTTGAGATTTGTTTCTGAGTCTCTGAGATAATGTCCATTAAGCAGTTCGATCAGAAACCAGAGAGGCCATGCTTCCAATTTTATAGTTGAGCCGGAGGTGGTTTGTAGGTGTGTCTCCCACATACCTAACTTTTGGCTGTTTACTTTCTTGGTAAACTTTGCCCCGAGTTTTTGGGGTCTGACCAAAGACACAGCAGCAATCTTAAGGTATCTGAAAGTCTGAATGCACCATCACGCACTCTCCTCACAGGTACAGATTCACCTGCTGGCGGCACCATACCCCCTTCAAGTAATTTTTGCAATGAGAAGTTTTTTCCTGGTCAAACTATTTTCAATAGTGGTGTATCCAGAAGTTGTCCTTTTAAATTATTTTTGTTGTTGTTCTTTATCTTGGTATTAGACTTCTTGTTAAAAAAACTTTGCTTTAACCTCATTCCTGGGTTAACTTGTGACCTGTTAACTAGGTTATCGGGGGATCCTAGTTGTGAATTAACACCAAATGATTACAATATTTCATGAAAATGGAAGCCATATCAGTTTTGGTTTCTTCCTTGTTAATAAAGAAACATGTATGTTTTATTATTGAGAGTGGATTATTTACTTCTATTAGGTAAAACTGTTAATGTATGATGAAGTGATTAGTTTTTAGTCATCCTCTTACCTAAATTTAATGAAAGAATGTATGACTTGAATAAGCAATATGTAAGTGTACCCATAATATTATACATTCTTTAGCAAGGAAAAGAACTCTTACCTGACCAAATTTTAAAAAGCATTTTTCAAGATTTTTTCCCTCAAATTTATTCCAACTTTGTCAAATACTTCTAAGTCAACATCAAAAGAGGAGTGGGAAACTTTGGAATTATTTATATCAATTCACTCAACTAATTTTTAAGTGGTACTTTTTAGTTCCCTGCAGTGCATAGAACAGCTAAGTCCCCTTTTCATGTAATTTATATTCTACAGATTAATCTGCAACCATTCATATCCAGACTGTCAATCAAATTGATCTTTTGAAGCATTCACTTGAAAGCAAAAGTGACCTAGGTGACTTGATATGTGAAACACAGTGGCAATAACTTCAAACACAAGCTATTGATTTCTGTATTTTTTCTTCTATCTTTTTGACTGCTTGACATGAAACACAGTTGAAAACATAAACACTAAATTCAATAACAAGTAACTTTAAATCTCGCCTCCACCCCAAAATGTATACCCTCCAGCCAACTCCCCAGACTCACCCCCAGTTGCAAAATAAAATTGTTTTGATATTTGCTTTGATAGTGACTAAATTAATCTCTCTTGTATTAGCATGGGAGGAATACTTGTTAAATTTCCTGTCTATGGTGGCAGAAAACAAGAGATGACTTCAGAGAAATCTGTTAGTTGAAATTGAGAGCACAGGAAGGATTCTTCTCTGGTATTTGGGAAACACAAGGTGAGATTTCATGAGTGATGTGGTTAAGCAGTAGAAGGCAAAGACCACTCCCATTCCAGGAGGGTTTGGCTTTGTTTTGGGACCACACCTGTCAATGCTCTGGATTTACTCCTAGTTCTGTGTTCAGGAATCACTTACGGATGGGCTCAAGAGATCACATGGAGCTGGGCATGAAACCCATGTAGGAAAGGTCAAGGTTTGCACCTTACCTTCTCTACTCTCTCCAGCCAGTCATCTGAACAGTGTTGTGTTGGGACACTCAGAACCATCTCATCTACTGATAAAGGAAAGTAGAAGAGCTCAGAGATGACGGGAGAAACCAATAAGAAATGTGTTGTTAGAGTTTCCAATGCTAACATTAGAGACTGGATCCCTGAGGATTCTTGTCATAGATACAAGCCAAAAAGAGCAACTGTAGCCACTTAGGAGCTCTCTGCACCCTGAGATGCAGACAATAACAGTCTGGTCCCTCCATTACTTGCTGAGTGAGTGTCTTGTCCAACAAATACTGTCCTCCCGTTGTTCATCGATTTGCTTGAGTGGGCCCAGTAACGTCTCCATTTTTTTTAGAGACTTGTTGTTACTTTGTTTGGCGTATTGAATACGGACGTCATGGGTAGTTTGCCAGGCTCTGCCGTGTGGACGAGATACTCTTGGTAGATTGCCGGGCTCTCCAAGAGGGGTGGAGGAATTGAACCCAGCTCGGCTGGGCTGGCTGTGCCCAAGACAAAAGCCCTACAGCTGTCCAAATACCATGGAATTAGAAATTGTAGCAAGAATGGAGAGTTTCTCATCCACAGCCAGTGGACAGTCAGTGGACAATAAACTCAGGTTAAAGAGGGGGATTTTTTTTGTTTGCTTATTTTAACTCACTGGCTGACACAGAAAGAATAATTTAATTTCACTTTTCAACCTATTTATATTTTTTTTGTTTGAAAAGTATTATAGAATAGTCATTAGATACAGTTGGAGGTGGAGTGAGGCGATACGTTATCAACCATCATTCTAACAGGACCCACCTAAACACAACAATATATCTCATTTCTTTCATGCATTGGTCTCTGGGTCACTTGGAGATTCTGTTTCAGAAGACAGGACACAGGCTGGGCTTTTATGAATTGGTGAGAAGAAGCAGTTGCTCCCAAGAATATACTTTTTCCAAGTACATCCAAAGAATGAATGCACATTAGCCAGATCCCATCTGCACATTTGAAGTTTCTACTTGCAATATAAAAGTAGGTCAGTGATCAAAGCCAAAGTCCCTGAGACAGGGAAGTGTCCTACCTGAAAACAAAGTGTGGGGGGTGAGGAAGGGGTTGTGAAAATCTGCAGAACAACAACACAATGGACGCTAGGTGGAGTCACAGTCACAGTCCTCCCACTGTTCATCGATTTGTTCGAGCGGGTCCAGCAACGTCTCCATAGTGACACTTGTTACTGTGTTTGGCATATTGAATACGTCACGGGGAGCGTGCCAGGCTTTGCCATGCGAGCGAGATACTCTTGGTAGCTTGCCGGGCTCTCCGAGAGGGGTGGAAGAATCGAACCTGGCTCAACCAGGCCAGTTGCGCAGAAGGCAAACGCTGTGCTATCACTCCAGCCTAGGTGGAGATCATTCTGAAACAACAAAATTTTATTTCCTTGTTAAATAAAACTAGTGAACACAAATATATTTATGTGTGACTGGTTTATAACAACTTTGTACTTAATATACACAAAAATGTTAGTTCACTGGCTATATTAGTGCTTCTTATTTTCAGTATTTTGTAGAGAATTTTTTGTATACTACAGATTTGTTGGAGTATTGGTGGTGGGGAATGTGTACTGTGATGAGTGTTTGATCATTGTGTGATTGTAACCCAAACATGAAAGCTGGTAACTATCTCCAGGTGATTCAATAAAATTATATATATATATAAAAAAAAGAACAGGGTTTGAGACTTGCATTTGTATTCCAATCCTGACCCTATCATTTGCATAATAATGTGATACTTTAAAATCTAATCCCTTGGTTGTAAAATTAGGGGGCCTTAGTCCAAGATTTAAATTGTTTAGGATTTGACCTTCTTGTATAAGCACTGTGCTAAAATTGCAGAAAATAGGAATACATCTTGGTTTTTGAAATAAAGCTAGCAGAGTACACACAAGAAGAAAAGTAAATGCACTACATTGTAAGGACTGGAGAGGGGGGACCTCTTTCTTAATGGCAGATTCCCTGTGATGTCCTTTTTTGTCTTTTCTGTCTCAGACTTTTGTACATCTGGCTTATTTTAACGTGATGATGTAATTGATGGTTTTTTATTATTGTGGTAGGACTTTTAACATTTTTTTCTTACACATACAGTTTTATGCCCTTTTTTACTCATCGAAATGTCATGTACTGTCTGATTGGCTTGTAGACTTCTTATAGACTCCCATGAATTAGCACAGATTTAAATTGTCACAGTTGAAGCCTACATACCTGCTTTTTGAAATGAATTTTAGACATTAAAAATGAACAATAAATAAATAAATTGTTTTTAGGATTTGAACAGACACACATAAAATGTTTCACACAAGTCTTGGCACAATCTAATTGCCTCCTCCACTCTAACTATTATTGATAGATGACCATTTTACCCATTAATTTGGCAATAAATCTTTCTCTAAACTCAGATCCATTAGCATTGCGATTGTTAGATCAGGCATGTAGGGATTTTGATGGGTAAGGCTGGTGAAAATGCACCATTAAGCATTTTTATGGTGTGTCTGAATTGAAACAGAGCCAATTCTACTCTTGAGTCGAGACAACCTTGTTCTCATCTTGAAGATGATAATTGGTGTAAGTCTTTAAGCTCCACCCTGTTCTAGCTTGTCTTCTTTGATAGTAATCAAAGTCAATGGACTTTGATTATTATACTATATCATAGTTCCTCAGTCCCAAAACTCATTGCTAGGGCCAGAGTGATAGCACAATGGGTTGGGCATTTGGCTTGGATTCTGCCAACCCAGGTTTGATACCCAGCATCCCATATCATCCCCCGGGTACTGCCAGGAATGATTCCTGAGTACGTAGCCCGGAGTAACCCCTGAGCATTGTCAGGTGTGACCCCAAAAGAAAACAAAATCCCCCCAAACTTATTGTTATACTTAGATTTGGAGAGCAGTACTGTGCATCTTTGATGGACAGATATTTGCCCAGGCTACTTGAATTAAACTCATAGTCTTCTCTTCCTGGTTTCCCCAAGGAGAAAATCAGGAAGCAATTTTAGCGTATGCATCTTCCATTAAGGAAAGTGTTGATCTGAAATGCTTAAAGAAAAGGTTACCATGATAGGTGAGTAAAAACCTCCTGATAGTCTCCATCAGTGGCTTTTAACATTAGAGGTAAGGAATATAAACACTCAATTACCCAAAGCTTTCTTGTTTGCTCTTTCAATCAGCAGACATAATAAAAGGTTTCTAATACGTATGTTTATTTTGAAACTCCAAGAGGGACTTCCAACACAGTCCATTTATCAAGAAGCATCTGTTTAGTTTTCACTTCACTTTTGGAAAACACTAGGTATATTCACAGGTAATTCTGCTAAGCTCACCCTTCCTTCCCTCTTTCTTTAACCACACACATGTAATTTGGACTCTCTTGCTTCCACAATTTTCTTTCAATTCTATTTCTGGTCTAGTGAAGGTCATATGGGAGAGTTTATTTCTTTGTGCTTTATGATGGCTTCTGCTGGAGGTGACATTGTAGGAACAGTCAACGGGATGGTACAACGGGCAGCTCTGTTCAATTTATCCTCAGGCTGGAGTGATAACGCAGCGGGTAGAGCATTTGCCTTGCACATGGCAGCATCTCATATGGTCCCCGGAGCACTACCAGGGGTAATTCCTGTGTGCATGAGCGAGGAGTAACCCCTGAGCATTGCCGGGTGTGACCCAAAAAGAAAAAAACAAAACAAAACAATTTCTCCTCAAACATTCTCTCTCAAGTTTTATTGATGTCCCATAGGGTCCTTCCGTGGTCTACTCTGATATTACCCAGTAACTGCATCTGTGGGAGCATCAATAACCATTAGTTTTCGGAGAATCGCATGGGTCACTCTGGGTTTCCAGCCCCAAGAGCAGTGCAAGCACCAGGTCTTCCTTTTGGACTCTAAAGTGCCTGACGTGCTGGCACAGTCTGCCAGGCTGTCCCTGCGGACACCATCAGCTGTGCCCAGGAGGCCTGAGCGGCCCCGCTGTCATTCAATTCTGCTGCTCAGTTCCTAGAATTGGCCCAGCCGCTCTCTTCCCGGAATAGGCTCAAATTATTTTATATGCGTCTCACTCCCTTCTCATGATTGACTACTCGGAACATTTTACATACAACTCGCTCCCTTCCCAGAACTGGCTGCATGGCTCCCTGCTCACCCACCTCCCAGAATTAACTCATCTCTAAAACGCAACACATTCCCACCTACACAGCCCAGACGCTCCCAATCAAAGACTCCCCAAGACTGGCCTTGGGGGGATCTCTCGCTCTCTCAAGGACTGACTCTGTTGGTCTGACCAGGGCACTGTCTGTTAATAAAGTTTCTCTGCTCCCACCTCGACCATCTCCCACTTCTGGTAAATTCTTCCCACCCCTGCTCTGTCCTTTTGGGCATGGGTTCAAGCTTCTACTCTCTCCCCAATCACCTGTCACGAGGACAACAGGAATGCAGCAGTTCACCCATAAGCATTGGATGCAAAAAGAAAAAAGAAAAGAAAAGCCAAAGGGACAATGAGCTACTAGGCTATGTGCCTTGAGAGGTCAGGCAAGGCCCACTGGTGGGTTGCAGATCAATGAGCAACAGGACATGGTCTGCACAGACCTCAGACTCAGAAGCAGTACATTGGCTAGGTTCAAACACAGGCCTGGTCTTTGTACCTGGGACAGCAAGATGAAGAGACAGAATGAGAGAGATAGAGAGAAGAGAGAACTGGACATTGAGGAAGGACTTCAAACCACTGACTTACACTGTACAATACACTATGATGTCATAATTTCCCAAGTTTTCTATTTGAATCTTTCACAGTTACTCAAGGAACTGAGTACTCAAAAACTAAAGCAAATTTTCAATGTGCCTGGGATGAGATGGGTAGTCCTGTGGTGTAGGGGACTGAACTTTGAACCTAAAATATGAAAAGCATGTGTCTGTTCCTTACAGGTCCATCCTTATCCTGGATCTTTTTTTTTTACATTTTTAGAAAAAAGTTTTTTTTTTATTGTAGAAAATTTTTTACATTTGTCCCCCATCCCCCAGTTTAATCAGTGAAAAATAGTGTTTGACAGCAGAGACAGAAATCTCTGACTTCAGTCTCTGACATCCCCTTGTTCTAGTTGAAACTAAAATTAAATTGTTCATTAAACTTAAAACAAGTTTATTATTTTTAAAATCCAGTTAAAGTCTCTATCCATATAAAACAGAGGGAACACCAGGAAACACATGGAAAATCTTCCTGGAACTGTGTGCTAATGTGCTTCTGAGTTCTATAGCAAATTTAAAGAAGAAAATTTACCTTTCTAAAGGAAAATAGTATCATATGAATGGTGGGCTTCATAGTTTTAACATCAGATCAATCATACTACTTTAACTTTTGTTGTTTTGGGTTTTTTTTTTTTACTTTTTGGGTCACACCCAGCAATGCTCAGGGAGTACTCCTGGCTCTGCACTCAGGAATTACCCCTGATGGTGCTCAAAGGACCCTATGGGATTCGGAGGATCAAACCCAGGTCAGCTGCGAGCAATACAGATGCCCTCCCTGCTGGACTATCCCCCCGGCCCCTATTTTAAATTTTAATAATTTTGATAATATCATCTTTTTAAAGCTCAGTTTTGGTGATGGTTATACCAAAAGGGAGAGGAGGAGGAGGAGGAGGAGGAGGAGGAGGAGGAGGAGGAGGAGGAGGAGGAGGAGGAGAAGGAGGAGGAGGAGGAGGAGGAGAAGGAGGAGGAGGAGGAGGAGGAGGAGGAGGAGGAGGAGGAGGAGAAGAAGAAGAAGAAGAAGAAGAAGAAGAAGAAGAAGAAGAAGAAGAAGAAGAAGAAGAAGAAGAAGAAGAAGAGCAAGAAGAAGAAGAAGAACAAGAACAAGAAGAACAAGAACAAGAAGAACAAGAACAAGAAGAACAAGAACAAGAAGAACAAGAACAAGAAGAACAAGAACAAGAAGAATTGTAAAAGTCTATTTGGAACATGTGACATACAAGTGGTTCTACATGGAAAGTATCATGCTAAGTGAATTGGAGCCAGAAAGAGAGGGACAGACATAAAAAGACTGCACTCATCTGGGGAATATAAAGTATTAGAATGGGAGACGAACACCCAGGAATACTTGAGATAAGTACCTGGAGGTATACTCCACGACTTGGAAGCCGGCAGCACATGCTGGCCTTCTCAGATAGAGAAGGCAGCTCAGATAGAGAAGGGAACACCAAGTAAAAGATGTGTGGAGGATTTTTTCTAGATGCGAGATGCGTGCTGAAAGTAGACTACAGATCAAACACAATGACCACTCAATACCTCTATTGCAAACTACAACACCCTAAAGAAAAGAGAGAGCAAAAGGGAATGCCCTGCCACAGTGGTGGGGTGGGATGGGGGGAAAAGGGGGTGGGAGGGATACTGGGATCAGTGGTGGTGGAGAATGGGCACTGGTGGAGGGATGGGATGGGTACTCGATCAATGTGTAACTAAAACCCAAGCATGAAAGTTTGTAAGTCTACAACTGTACCTCATTGTGTTTCACTAATAATAAAAAAGAAAAGAAAAGAAAAAATAAATCTATTTGGAACAGAAATGGGGCTGATAGTGCCTGGACTATGGCTTGACCTGTAACCAATAGACATTTGAGAATAAAGTAAAACATTATTTTATCCTATATTGTAGACCCTATTTCTCTAATTTCTACCAATATAGTTATTGTAATTTGGATGTTAGACCTAACCATCCAATAAATGAAAACTAGTAGGTATTTCCTAGGCAAGTAATGCCCCCGTCCCAAATGATTCCCCTATGAAGCATTCCATGAAAAGAGAGAGCTGGAGACCTCTACTTAGTACAGTGGTACCAGCGACCATTCAACAAATATTAGTTTTTTTCCCAATAGGGACAACATATTGAGATATTAATTTGTGTTTTGTGTGCTCTGTACTTTTCTTTCTTATTGCATCCCCTTTCCAATACCAACCCCTGTTAATCTAGTGTTTTATTACTCCAGGGAAACTGCATGGCAGAACAAAAAGCTTTTATGCAGAGAACTTACAT